ATACAAAAGGATCCCAGACTTTTAAATAATGAAGACCCTTTTCTAACAATTCCATTTGACAATAGTTCCAAAAATTATTTTTTAAACATTTATTCATTTTTTGAGAGACAGAGTATGAGCAGGGGAGGGGCAGAGAGGGAGACACAGAATCTGAAGCAGGTTCCAGGCTCTGAGCTATCAGCACAGACCCAGACGCAGAGCTTGAATGCAAGAACTGTGAGATCATGAGATCATGACCTGAGCCGAAGTCAGATGCTTAACTGACTGAGCCACCCAAGCACCCGACCACTTGTCAATAGTTTTTAACTTGTTAGGATTCTCTGAAAGTACAGAAAGTAATGAAAAGCCATGAATAATTAATTAATGCTTTTAAACTACTCATCTATTTTTAAGTTTATTTACTTAAGTAATCTCTACACCCAACATGGGGCTCAAACTCACAACCCCGAGATCAAGAGTTGCATCCTCTATTGACTGAGCCAGCCAGATGCCCCATACTCATGTATTTTTAATTACTTTACCACCCACTTATACTTAATAGCAGTACTTATGTGCAAAACTGAGATTCCTGATACACTAGGCTTCACAGATTTATACAATGAAACTGCCACATAATATTACCCTTCCTTAACTGCCTGCTGGGTAAAGCAAAAAGAGGAAATCAGGGCAATTTATATAACTCTAAGTGGTTAGACAAAAGAAAGCAAACAGATCTACCAAGAGAAATTATCTAGTGAGAAATTGCCACAGTTGTTTTCATATTTTCAGATATAAAATCTGAACCTAGTCCAATAGTACAGAGATAAATTTCCTAATATTGTTTTGAAAACATATTTAAAATAATCTGGCAATCTGCCTAAAGTTTCTATTCTTGCCACAAAGCTTATTCCCTCCCATTTTTAGGCACTTACACATACACAAAATCACGAACTAGACTGCAAAAAAAATCACCAATCTTTCAGTAATCAAAGTAACAGAGGGGTGTGGGGGGAGGGGAAAGTAACAGTAACCATGGTCACATAATCAGATATAGCAATTTTCATAAAGATGACAAGACGGGAAAGACAAAAAGATACATTTACTTCAGCACAAGTACTGAATTAGTATACAGAGGAAACTAATTAAAGACGGAAGCAAATTAAGTTTTAAAGGAGAGGTTTGGAGAGGAAATGACTCAGAGAGAGGTAAAGATAGGGAACTCTGGTGGTTTGATTTTTGCTGACAAGTAATGAAATAGTAGCTAAATACTTTTCTGCCATAAAAAAGACTTTTGTCAAATGTTCCAGATAAATCAAGAAAAAAAGGACACAGCACAATTTGAAATAAAACGTATTGACATTATTTATCCTTAGGGACTGTCATCTGTGGTGACTACTTACTTATATAATATAGATAAAATGCTACCTTAAAATATGAAGTTTGTACTAACCATTGAAAAGGACACTTAAGTTACAAATAATTTTAACTTTTTTCCTTAGAAAGCTGATCAATTATTTCCTACGTTAGTTTTAATTTTTCTACAGTGAAGCCACTTTAAAGCTTGGGGAAGTCTGCCCCCTACAGCTTTAGGATTCTGTGTGCATATGTTTTTGGATTCCTACTAGAATTTCAAATTTTCTGTAAGACAAGAATGAGGCAGAGTTTCTAGTACTTCTATTTTCCCATCACATATCTACCCACAGGGGACCTAGGTAAATGCTGACTGGTAAAGTTTTAGCAGGTTTTCTGCCTAATATACTTTTTTTCCTGGAAAAGACTAACTCAATTTTAAAGACACACATGGTTAATCTCGCCCCAAAGTGTGAGAAATTTGGCAATAAACGGATTTTGTACTTAAAGGAACTATTAGATAACACAGTTCCTGAAAATTTTTCCATAATGGAACCAGTAGTGTCTATTAATGTCACAAAACCAAGGTCAGCTCTACCTTAACCTCTATGCACCAGTGTAAAATACAAATTAAACTTCTAATCTCTATATCACATGAATATTTACTGATCACCAAGCTAGTCAGAAAAATAAAAGTAAAGACCTATTATGGAGAATGTTAAGAAAAATAGTTGATGGGCTTCTGGGTGGCTCAGTCAGCTAAGCATCTGACTTTGGCTCAGGTCATGATCTCAAAGTTCATGAGTACAAGCCCCACATTGGGCTCTCTGCTATCAGTACAGATCCTCTGTCCTTCTCCTCTCTCTCCCCTTTCCCCACTTGTGTGTTGTCTGTCTCTCAAAAATAAACAAACATTAAAAAAATAAAATTAAAAGAAAAACAATCGAGCAAGTCCCAGAAATCTACTATACATTAAGGCTTTTCAGCTTATCATGCAGGGTATTGATCACAGGAGCCAACCAGAGCGCCAGAATCACTTGTTTACTTAGTCTACAAAATTAAAATTATTTGTTCTAATTTGAAACATACCCAAAGGCCACTATCAAAAAGTATTAAACAATAGGGGTGCCTGGGTGGGCCAGTTGTTGAGTGTCTGACTCTTGATCTCAGCTCAGGCTATGCTCTCATGGTTTATGAATTTGAGCCCCATATTGGGCTCTGCACTCAGGCACGGAGCCTACTTGGGATTTTTTTCTCCCTCTCTTTGCTCCTCCCCCACTTGTACTCTCTCTCTCTCTGAAAATAAATAAACTAAAAAAAAAAAAAAGTATTAAACAACAGTCTGCTGTGGTATAAGGCAGTGGCAAAAAAATATAATTAGATCTGAGTTAAATCAGAACAATCTTTCAGAAATGAGTTGTCAAGCCACTGTTTCTTGTTTTTCTCTTACTGGGACAGGAAAGCCTACAAGAAATAAGTAAGTACCATTATCTCCATGTTCAGGTATCAGGTCAACAAGCTTCTCTTCCCATAGGTAATGTCTAAAGCAATTAATCATAGCCTATTGTGCATTACTCTAATTAGATAATAGTTTCCTTTAACACCTAACGAAATCACGGAGCGGGCAGGTGGCATATCTTGAGAACATTTTTAGAAAGGCTGGAAGGCAAAGATGGAAATTCTGAACAGTCAAAAGGCAGGATGGTACTAAATATAGGGGAGGGGCAAGGCCAGGAGGGTGACTGGTAGAAAGAAAAGGACCCAGTCATAACATCTTTTCCTACTTTGAAATTCTGCCTGGGACACTTGGGGGGTACTCTGCCACAAAGTCACCTCACTGACTGAGCTAGATTAGCACCAGAATTTATCTCATCAAATCCTTCAAAGGCTCTACCTCACCTATACTGTGACAGACAGGATAAATGTCAAAGTCTTTAATAACTGAATGATCACTAAACACTGCTCCAGTTTTACTTCCATGTGCCCACATGTCCTTTTCAAGTGTCTGTGCCTTCAAAGCTGTCGATTCTGCCTGGTTCTTTCTCCCCTTCTCAGATGGACCAAACTCGACTTATCTTTGAAGATTTTTAAAAAATTTAAGTACCTTCCCAAACAAAATTTGGACCTCCTTCCTTGGATGTCCCACAGTTGAAAGTTGAAGAATGATTAATGAATAAAACTCCCTAGTCTGGGATTATACTACCATTCAAACAATATGAGGTAGTCACTATCACTATAATGAGTATAGGTCAATTTTTCTTCCCATGTTTGGGTTTTCCAAAGTTGGTCCTGATGTGGAGAAGCTGTAATAGCAACCAAAATGACTGAAGGGCTGTGGCATTAGCACTAGTTAGGAAAGAATCTGGGTTACTAAACTGGGAGGGAAAAACAAAAACAAAAAAAACATCTGGGAAGAAGGGTCTAGCAAGTAATAATCAAACACCATTTACCAGAGAGTGGAGGAAGTAGTTGCTGTTCTTTTGTTTTTAATGGAGAATTAGAAATGTATTATACACAGAGGGAACTACTGAAAAGATTTCTTACTACATAAAGGCAAGACAATGGAGTTGACTACAAAGGGAATCTGTAAGACCTATAATAATTACCTCAGAGTCGTTCTGAGAATTATATAAAACCCGAATAAAAGACCTAGCACAGTGCCTTGATCGCATGATGGTTATTTTCTCTCACTAAGCATTCCTTAAAGGCTGTCAGAAAACTTTCGGCCACCTAGGAAAATGCAATATGACCAAATAATGATTAAATTCTTTCTCTCCCAAGAAGCTATCTATAATTACAGCCTCCACAGCATTCTCCCTATTGGGATGTCTAATTATTTAAAAACATGCTGCCTAGATCCGCCTACTAATAGGGTTAGCAGGAACCACTGGGAAAGGCTACATTTTGTCCAAAAGAATGGAGCACTTAATCAGCAATTACATGGCACTTTCAGGCTATCGAAACATTTGGGCAGAGGGTGCGGGGATTCATAAAAGATGATCTTATTTTCCGAATACACGCTAGGACTCATTTTCTGATACGTACCCGGTACCAATAAAGAACAAAAGTGCTAGACAATGAGAAGACGACCTTAGATGCCGAAGGTAAAGAAAGATCCAATTCAAATCGAAAGTGGCGGAGCCAGGAATTGGCTAGCAAGTAACTGGAAGTTTCAGGCGTTAGGTTGGGGTCTGAAGCAGGGACCTGACACAGGAAAACCTCACAAGGAAAGGGGCCCAGGAAAGCAGACACCGAGACCACTAGATCAGAAAGAGGAAAAGACACCAAAGAACTGCCACAGAGCCACAGAGGCCAGCCTCATACCTGCGCTTCCCGCTTCCCTTATCGGCGCCTCGTGATGACCTCACCGTGGGCGCCCAATCCCATCTAGCGCCGGGAGCGGGGCGCCTCAGCCCAAACAGTCACATCCGGGGCCGAGAGGAACCGCGAGCGAGCTGGGCGTGCGCCCTTGCTTCGTGCCCTCAACCAGTATGGCGGAGTCACGGGCGCGCCGCGGGGAGGCCGTGCGAGTCGGGCGGTTCCGACGCCCGCGCTGAGCCGGGGAGGAGGGGCGGGGGACGCCCGTGCGGCCGGTGCGTCTGCCCTCAGTGAGGCGGGGCGCGCGGCGGACGCCCCCGGGCAGGGGCGGGAGTGGTGGAGGGCCGGTGGTTGGCTGTGAAAGGGGCGGTGAGCGAGGTGCTTCGGTCTCAAGGCGAGGCTTGGCCTCCCCAGCAGAGACGGGGGGAAGAGGCGGCGGCAGCGGCGGCCCTTGGGCCGGCTGGTGAGGTGATGGCGGCACCAGCCCCAGGGCCTGGGGGAGCCTCTGGTGGCGCTGGCTGTAGCGGCGGCGGCGGCGCGGTCGGCGGCTCGGGCTCCGGGTCCGCGGGGGCAGGGGGCCGGCTGCCCAGCCGGGTGCTGGAGTTGGTGTTTTCCTACCTGGAGCTGTCCGAGCTGCGGAGCTGCGCCCTGGTGTGCAAGCACTGGTACCGCTGCCTGCACGGTGATGAGAACAGCGAGGTGTGGCGGAGCCTTTGCGCCCGCAGCCTGGCAGAAGAGGCTCTGCGCACGGACATCCTCTGCAACCTGCCCAGCTACAAGGCCAAGGTGAGGGAGCCCCGGGCCACGCCGCTGCCCCCAGTCCCGCTTCTCTGCGCCGCTCTGTCTCCGTGCTTCTCATCTGAGCTCTGACTCAGACGCCTCGCCTCACCATCCCGCCTTTGCCCGGCTGCAGTCAATACCTTACTTCGCGTCCCCCTCCATAAAGATCCTCTTCTCATTGAAGTTCTGCTCCTTAAACCTAACCCCCTCACTTCCGTGATACACTTTTAAAAGGACCAGATAGTTTCCAGTTGCTGGTTTCCATCACTCATTCCACTTTCCACAGTTTTCTGACATAAAGACAGACCACCCCCATTGTTGTACCATTCAGTACTCTCCTATGTTTATTAGATCATCTTAGCTGCCTTAACACCGGCTGAGTTTCTGAGATCTTTGCTTTCACCCCACATTCACCTCACTCTTTCCAAGCTCTGATTTACAACTATTTTTTTTTCTATTTTCGCTTAAGTTCCCTCGCCTTTAATTCCCTCCATTATGTTTAAGACTTATAAGTGAGTGTCGTCCCAGACATCCTGCTAACTTTCAAATTACAGGCTTTTAATAGAACATCTTCTCCCCTTCCCCCGTCGGCACCACTTAACCATCCTAGTACTGCCTTGTCTCACTATTATTGGCGACTTCCCTGCCAACTTTTTCATAGTTCCACCTTGATGGTGTGCCTCTTCTATTCTATGTGTCATGTAACGTGCCGATTCTGGTTTTGATGCCTCTTCCTCCTAGATTCTTGTGCACATTCCTGCCTCCTTCATATGCAAATAAAAACTTCAAGTAACAGGTTATGGTAGGGCTGAGAAGATTCTTCTGGCAATGTAAAGGCCTCGAGCTTGAATTCAGTTGGATGGATAACAGCTATTCAGCATAGCAGTCACCAAGAGTATATGTGAGAGAGGATGAAGTCTGTCCTAGAATGTGGTAAACAAAAATACACCAATAACTAAAAAAGGTAGATATCCTGTTTAAAACTAGACTGCCAAAGAGGGAGTCAGAGTAACTTTTTCCCCATGTGAAATAAATGTAAAATTTATTATTCCGTAATAAAACAGGTTTTAGTTTAATAAGATAAGGAATGTTGCAGTTACATATGTCAACTATCAAATTAGTTTTTTTCTATTAAGTGAAAGAACACATTAAGTTTTTTTAAGTTTATTCATTTTGAGAGAGAGCATGTGCACAAGCGAGCGGGGTTGGGGGGGGGGGCAGAGAGAGAGGAAGAGAGAATCCCAAGCAGTCTCCAGGCTGTTGCATGGAGCTGGACATGGGGCTCGATCTCACAAAATGAAATGTGAAATCATGACCTGAGCTAAAATCAAGAGCGCTTAACCAACTGAGCCACCCGGGTGCCCCAACATGTTAATTTACTAGGACAGTATTTGTACCTGGTGGATGCTCATTGGATACTAGTTGTACTTTATGAAGTAGAATGCAGAACATTGCAGTTTTGTCCTACTTTGCCTGATAAGCCAGTAAGCCTTAAGACCTTTTTTGTTATCGGTCTGTCAATGATGTATTTACATGAGCCCGGATTCATATGACAGTATGTGTTCATGTGAGTCAACATGCAAAAGAAGCAATATGGTATAAGCAAAATGTCTTCCTTTTGCCCTGTCTGCCAGCCGCCCAGTTTGACTTCTTGGAGGCAACCTGTGTTACCTGTAATCCTTCCAGAGATATTTTAGGTTTCTTAGGTTTTCAATACTTTATAGTGTCTTTCTCCCACACCCGTGACAGACATTGTAGATTTGTACTAATAATATGTTTGTTCAGATGTTGCAGGACATAAGAATGTATTGAGGATAAAAAGATTAATTAAAAAGAAGTTAGATACCCTAGTAAGAAAGTTTTCAGTCAAGTAGAGGAGAAGAAAAATGTATAGAAATAACTAACACATGATAGAAATTGCTTCTGTCAGAGATGTATTTATATAAGTAACGTATACTGGAGGTGTTTGTATACACACACTAGAATTTCAGTGAAAGGAGAGATTTACAAGTTGAGTGGATGCTTGGCGAAGGTTTAGGTTAGGATTATATTTGATCTGAATTTTAAAGATAGGGAGGATTTGAACATTTTACTAAGAAATGCCCTGAACAAAAGCAGGACAAGAGGAAAGCAAAGGCTTTGCATAGCATATATGTTTATTTTAAAAAGGGTTGTCGCCAGGCACAATGCTCACTTTTGCAGATGCGATGCTGAATAAAAACAGACACAAAACTCTTAATGGATGCCTTGCTTACAGTCTAGTGGGGGGAAATAGATATTAATCAAATACACAGTTGTAAAATTGCATCTGTGGTAGGTGAAGGAGAGAGAGGTGCACAATGCTCTGAATGTCAGAAATGGAGGATTTTAACTAGGTAGGGAGGTCAAGAAAGGCTTTCTCTGAGGAAGTAACGCATGTACTGAGACCTCAGCAATAAAGCCAAGGGGAGAGAGGAGACTTCCAGGACAGAACTTGATGATTATGAGGGACAGAAAATATATCAGTGTGGCTGAATCGGAGAGAGCAAAGGTGAGACAGGTTTGAGAGAAGATGGAAGAGGTGGACTAAGGCCAGACTACAGGGAAACCATTTTGAATTGTAAGCAAGAGGGAGTTAGGAGTGTTAGGTGATGTGATTTTTTATTTTTTTGCATTTTTAAGAGGTTATTTCTGACTTTGATATGGAGAACAGATTGGAGGGGGACCTTAGAAATATGGATAGATCAGCTAGGAAGTGGGTAGTGAAGGAGATGGGAGAAACAAGAAAGATTTAGGAAGTAAAACCTACAGGATTTGGTAATAGATTTGAAATAGGGGTGAGAAAAGAGGGAGGTGTTAAGAATAACTCCTAGATATCTAGCTTACATAATATGGGAATCACCTGAGCTAGATTTAGGAGAAATAGCTGTGAGTTCAATTTTGGTAGAGTAGAATTTACAGTGTTTTTGAGGCATCTGAGAGATTTCAGATAGGCAGCTGTTACAGTTTGAAGTTTAGAGGAAAGGCTAAAGATTTATATCTTTATATAGGGTCTAATGAGATTGAATTGAAATAGTGGGAAATATTATAAAGGTAAACTGAAACTATCATCATGGATGTTCATGGCATATAGCCTTCAGTGTATAGTTTGGGCTTTGTTCAAAACCATAGAAGTTTGAACAGAGCAGTGACAAATAAAAACCGTGCTTTAGAAAAACTAGGCCATAAGATAAATTGTACAGAGCAGGGGTTAGTACCTATACCAGAGGTACTTAAGACCTGAACAAGTATGTAGAGAAGAGAAGAGGATGACTGGGAGAGCTGTTGCAGAGAACACATCCACATAGGTGGACAGCTGAGAGTGGGTGAGATGAGGAAGAAGAAAGAGCCAGACAGGATTTCCAGAGAGCCTGGGTAACTGGGAAGAAGATGGGACAGGTGTGGGATAGCATAAAACTGGAAAGTATTTGGAATTGCCAGTCTAATTAGGATTTGTCTTCTTTTTAAAAGTTCATATTTTCCATGTCACCAAGAAGCATCCATTATTCCAGTCATACTTAGCATCTAACTATAATGTATTCTCTGATTTTCAGACCTAGATCCTAAAGTAAGTCTTAAAGGTGTTGGTTACAATGTAAAATTTAGGGTGTACAGGAGACTGTGGGAAAGGAACTATGGATTTTCTTTATTTATTAATCTGTATATTTACTTTTTCATTTCATTTCAATTTTTCAGTGTTCCTCTCTAAAAGATAAGGACACTTAATATAATCACAATATCATCACACCTAAAGTGTAAAGAAATTAACAATGATTCCTTATAAACAATGCAGTGTTTAAATTTCCAATCGTTTTATAAATGTCAAATGTTCTATTTAAAATGTTGAGTTTACTTAATCAATATCTGTATAAGGTTCTCATGGTAAACTGCTGATATATATCTCTTAAGTCTATTTTAGCCAACAGAGTCACTCTCCCATCTCCCCTAACTCCCATTCCTGCAACTTATCTGTTGAAGAAACCAGGTTGTTTACCCTGTAGAGTTTCCCTCAGTCTGGATTTTGGAGATTTTATTCCCATAATATTCCTTAACATGCTCTTCTGTCTTAGACCGTGAGAGGTTTGATCAATTTAGGTAAGATCTGTATTGTTATAGTTTCTGTTCTTGTTGTTTTTCAGTGTATTTTCTACTGGAATCAAGTGGTCAGATTGCATGCAGACTTAAATGTTGTGTGCCAGCTATGGTGGTGGATAAGAATTTAGGAGAGTGAGATCAGGGAGATTGGGTGGTCGTGGTTAGAATAACTTCATCCAAGTGGTAAGCCTGATTCTGATAGAAGATATAGGATATGTTGGAGGAGGAAAGCAGATATGATTCTACAGATAGGGAGAACAACGTGAAGTTAGAAAGGGAAATAGGATGAACTAGACCTGGAGGGCTTTGAAAGCCAGAAACAATGTTGGTATGGTAGATAGTATGGAACCATCAAAGGTTATTGAACTGGGATGAAATATGATAAAGGTGCTGTTTTAGGAAAATAGGTCTGGAAATAATTGAGGTAGAGAGTTTAGTATTGAGGTTGGGACAGTTTTAGCGGGCAGAGGTATGGTGATCACCAAAAAAGGGCATAGTGAAGAAAGATCAGTCTAGAGTAATAAGAAGGGATAGCAGTTTGGAGAAGAGGCTGGCAACAGTGTCATTGTGACAGAGAAAGATAGAGAAAAAGCAATTGGTATTTGTAAGAATTATGGAATAGGCATAGGTAATTATCAGTTAAACATTTTATAATGAGGATTTTATAAAATATTTTATATTTTACTTGTCTTGATAGTAATCTCTTGAGTTTTTAAATACTTAAAATTTTGGGGACATTTTACTCCCCCATTTAATCTTATGTTCTGATATTTTATGTGCTTAAAAGTGTGTTATATTAGGAACAGATAGGATAATATTTAGAATTACTTAAGTATTGGGGCACCTGGGTGGTTCAGTTGGTTAAGCACCTGACTTTGGCTCAGGTCATGATCTCGCGGTTCGTGGGTTCGAGTCTCTGTCAGGCTCTGTGCTGGCAGCTTAGAGCCTGGAGCCTGCTTCAGATTCTGTGTCTCCCTCTCTCTCTCTGCCCCTCCTCTGCTCCTGCTCTGTCTCTCTCTGTCTCTCTTTGTCTCTCAAAAATAAATAAAAGTTAAAAACATTTAAAAAAAAATACTTCAGTATTACAGCCTCCTGAATCAAGCAGAGTGTTTGTTTTGTTTGTTTGTTTTTTAATGTCTCTGCTCTGCAGTGTAACAACCAAGCAGTGAGGTACTGGCTAATAGTAACTGAACACTGGATGAAGGGACTAGATACCGGACTTCTCTTTGGGACTCTTGTTCTAACCAGCTGTTGAATTTTAGGTCTGTGCCCTAATCTCTGTGTTGCAGTAGGTCCCTTTAAAGCCCTTCCTAATGCTAAAACTATGATTTTGGAGTTGGTGGCTCAGATTACCTAAAGCAATAGACCGCAGCCTTTGACTGTTTTAGGGTAGTTTGAATAAAGAAGGGATTTTCAAAAAACATACAAATCAAAAACTTTAAATTATTAAAGCATGAGAAATGTTCACGATTTATACAGAATAGCAATTTTCATACTGTCTTTATTTTGGAAGCTTAAAAAACTGATTAGTGAAGATCAACTAATCTGTCCTATCTGTGGTAGCTGCTCTTAATGACTATCTCTTTGTAAATTCTAGTGCTTGAAATTAGATGCTGTCTAGGGGGTTATTTGATTTGGTAAAATGAGAGTGATGCTGTCTCAATGTACGAGTAATAACTAGCAAGGAGGCTGAGGATCAAACATAGTTTGTGTTATTAAAATTTTCCATAAACTTTAGAACTGCTATGACTAAGTTCTATATTAAAATATTTTTGGGGGGCACCTGGGTGGCTTAGGTAATGATCTTATGGTTCGAAGGTTCGAGCCCTGTGCTGGGCTCTGTGCTGACAGCTCAGAGCCTGGAGCCTGGTTTGGATTCTGTCTCCCCCTCACTTTCTTCCCCTGCTTGCGCACGCTGTCTGTCTGTCTGTCTGTCTCTCTCTCTCAAAAATAAATAAACATTAAAAACTTTTTTTAATAAAAAATATTTTTGATGACTGCATCGCCAACATGAAAACTGTATATCCCTTAACTTTTTGATATAAAAATACCAAATATAAACTAGAATAGAGAAACTAGTTTAATGACCCTCCCAAACCCATCACCAAGCTTTACCAATGATTAAATTCACAGACAATCTAGTTTTGTGTTTACCCTACCCATTCTCTCACTCCAGCCCTGGCTATTTCAGAGCAATTCTGAGATATCTTTATGTCATCCATAAACATTTCAGTATTATCTCTAAAATATACGGATTCTTGTGTATATCTTTTGATATTTTAAGAAGTCTATTTGGAGAAATGATACCAGTTTAGATTTTGATCAATATTGAAACAGTTGGTAGTCCTTTTATTTTTTATTTTCTAATGTTTATTTATTTTTGAGAGAGAGAGAGTGCAAGCAGAGGAGGGACAGAGAGAGAGGGAGACACAGAATCTGAAGCAGGCTCCAGGCTCTGAGCTGTCAGCACAGAGCCTGATGTGGGGCTGAAACCCACAGACCTCGATATCATGACCTGCTGAAGTCGGAGGCTTAATCGACTGAACCACCCAGGCACCCTGGCAGTTGTTTTAAATGTTGCACATATATTTTGTTAGTATCCCATTCTGAAACTAGCCATTTTTCGGAAATACGTATTGTATTATTTAAAAATATGTAACTTTATTGTCTAAAAACATGTAGCCTAAAGTTTGGGTACTTTCTAATGTTAAAGAAAAATCAAATTTCTATTTCTTTGGTCTGTTTTTCATCTTTTCAGGTGCGTGCTTTCCAACATGCCTTCAGCACTAATGACTGCTCCAGGAATGTCTACATTAAGAAAAATGGTTTTACTTTACATCGAAACCCCATTGCTCAGAGTACTGATGGTGCAAGGACCAAGATTGGTTTCAGTGAGGGTCGCCATGCATGGGAAGTGTGGTGGGAAGGCCCTCTGGGCACTGTGGCAGTGATTGGAATTGCTACAAAACGGGCCCCCATGCAATGCCAAGGTTATGTGGCATTACTGGGCAGTGATGATCAGAGCTGGGGCTGGAATCTGGTGGACAATAATCTACTACATAATGGAGAAGTCAATGGCAGTTTTCCACAATGCAACAATGCACCAAAATATCAGGTGAGAAGCTGGGTATTTTCTCAGTTGTGGGCCTTTGTCAAATCATAAATCATGCATTAATTTGTTTTAAATTCACAAAATTTTATATAGCAGCTTTGCATGTCTTTTTGGTAATTTAAAAATAAATAGGGTAACTGGCCCCTCTTTGCTACTTTAATAATCTTTTAATATTTCCATATTTGTTTCCTAATACATATTGGCTGTGAGCATTCTGTCTTTTCTCTAAATCAGGGGTTGGCAAACTTTTTTCTGTACAGGGCAGGTAATAAATATATCAGGCCTTGTGGTACCTATGGTCTCTGTCAGAGCTATTCAACTCTTGTTGTTGTAGTACAAAAGCAACCATAGATAATATGTAAATGGGTGACCATAACTGTGTTCCAGTAAAACCTTGTTTATGGGCTGCAGGCAAGATTTGGCCCAGTGACCATAGTTTGCCAACTGTGCTCTAGATTGTCCTTTTTCTGGTATCATGGCACATCCGAACCTACTTTTTTCTAGACTTCTCACTCCCACAAATGTAACTGTGCACGTGCACACACATATCGACTCTCTGCTATTCGTTAATCTGTCTGTGGATTCAGAGCCTCTGGAGATGTCAGTGATATCTATATGACAGGCAAATTTAGGCAAACTACTGGGTTTTTTTTATTCTCTTCATCTTAATGCCATACTCATCTGATTCTAGGGTCAAAATTATAGTTCCTATTTGTAAATGCCATTATGATTAGCATAGAGTTAGCAGAGTCTAAAACACAATAAGATTTCTGATAAGAAATTAGAAATTTTAGGGGTACCTGGGTGGCTTGGTCGGTTAAGCATCCAACTTTAGTTCAGGTCATGATCTTGTGGTTCCTGATTTTGAGCCCCACGTTGGGCTTTGTGCTGACAGCTCAGAGCATGGAGCCTGCTTCAGATTCTGTGTCTCCCTCGCTCTCTGCCCCTCCCCCACTCACAATCTGTCTCTCTCTCTCTCTCTCAAAAAATGAGTAAAAATTAAAAAATTTTAAAAAGAAATTGGAAATTTTAAAGAATTATAGACTTAAGATTAAGGGACATTATTAGAGTCATTTCATAATGATAAAAGAGTTAATCAGGTAGAGAGATATAACAATTCTAAATATATATGCACTTAATAACAGAGCTCCAAAACACGTGAAGCAAAAACTTAAAGAACTGAAAGAACAAATAGATAAATTAGCAAGTATAGTTGGAGATTCCAATGCTGTTTATTTTGTCTGATGTTAATATAGCAACTTCAGCTTTCTATAGTACCTCTTTTTCCCTATTCTTTTACTTCCAATTGTCTTTAACATGGATCTCTAAACCAGCATATAATTTTGGGTCTTGAGTGTTCAACCTGTTTACATTTAATGTAGTTGTTGGACTGCTTGATATTGTCCTGATCTCTCTGCCTCTGAAGCTGTGGTGGGTGTTGGTTTTTTTATCTTTTTTCTCTTTGTTTTTTGGATCAGGTAATTTCTGTTGCTCTATCTGCAAGTTCATGGATTCTATGGCCATTAAGCCAGGGTAGCAAATTTTGTTTATTGTATTTTTCAACTCTGGAATTTTCATTGGGTTCTTTTTTAAAGTTTCCATTTTTCCATTGAGATTCTCTGTCCATTCATTAATATTAGATTTTTCTTTAATTATTTGCACATATTTATCATAACTGCTTTGAAGTCTTTGTTCACCAAATCTAACATGTAGGCCTGCTTAGAATTGATTTCTATTGACTGCTTTTTTCCCCCCAGAGTATGAGTTGCACTTTCCTGTTTCTTTTCATATCTAGTCAGTTTTAAATTGAAAATTAGAAATTATAGATAATATACTAGTAATACTGGAATGTTTTGGTTTTAGAATCACTTTGTTTTTCTGAAAAGTGTGGGTTTTCTTGTTTTAGTAGACAATTAACTTGCCTAGGTTCTTCAAACTGTGAACTCTGTCTCCCCCTTGGTGTACAGCAGCTAATGTCTTTGTTCAGTTTTTTTTATTTGTTTTTGTGGTGGGGGGAGGCTACTTTCCTAGCGTGTTTCTGTAGGGGTTGCCCCTGTGTCTGTGTAAGACAGTGATCACACAATAATTTGGGCAGAGTTTATTTTTGGATTTGGGCCTCATCCTCTTTGTGGTTCCATACTTCTGGAGTTCCTCCTCTAAGTTTCCAGTTGCTCTGCCATCTCCCAAGTTTTCCCCTCTGACACCTAAAGCTAGTAAGACTTTTGCTTTCTGTTCTCTGTGTTGTGTTCCTGCTGTGTGCTCAAAGGTGAAGCAGACTTGCACATTTCACCAGGATCGGTTCTGTCATCTTAGTTTCCATCTTCTATAAAATAGGGAGAAATCCTAAGATAGACGTGAGGATTAAATGAGATAATACAAATAAACCACAAAATGAACACCCAACAAAATATTAACTTTTCTATTTTGTTACTGTTTGTTTTGTTGGTGGCAATAGTGGTGATGATAATTAGGATGTTCGTAGGTCTATGAAATGGGGTGTAAGTTAATCTATGAGATGGGCAAAAAAGCAGATGTTTGTAGTTTATGACAGGAAATACAATGAAGGAAAGTAACAACAGCAGCAAGAGTTCTCATAATTGGGAAGTATTAAATTCTGGCTTTTGATTGCTAATATTAGGACTTTCTGCCTCCAAGTATGTAAATGAAACAACCATTTATAGATGCAAATTGGAAAAGTAAATCATCCTCCTTATTTGTCTGCACTTTCCATGTGGGAAAATATGTTGTGCTTCTGCTTTAGTTTAACAATCAGTGCTGCTGTTTTTATAACAAACAGGTGTTTCAGAGCAGTGGCCCACAAAATGACTAATAAGCCTATTCTGTATCTTTAGAACCTATAGTCAGATTTGGCTCTTCGTGATTATGTAAGTTCTACACTGTTGGAAGAACTGCTTTGTCAACTTTAAAGGTTATATAAGTGTTTTTATATAGTAATTTTTATTGTGATAAAACATACACATTTATTATTTTAACCATTAGTAAGTGTATAATACAGTGGTGTTAATACATTCACAACATGTGTATCCATCACCACTATCTATACCTAAGACTTTTTCATCATGCACAGCACAAACTGTGCTCATTAAACAATAACTTCCCATCTCTCCCTTCCTCCAGCCCCCAGTAACTTCTATTCTGTTTTCTGATTTGAATATTGCAGGTGCTTTATATAAGTAGAATCATACAAATTTATTTTTTTGTGTCTGGCTTATTTCACATAACGTTTTCAAGAATCATCTGTGTTGTAGCATATATCAAAATTGTATTTCTTTTTATGACTGAATAATATTCCATTGTATATACATATTATAATAATTTGAAAAGGTTATTTAGATAGACTTTTTGGTAAAATATTCCAAGTTACAGATTTTAATAGTAAACTTCTAAGAAAAGCCTTTAAACAAAGGGTAAATAAAATTTGGAAACTGTTCAGTAGGAACATTTAAATTTTTGGTATTAAATGCAGAAACCATCTTAAAAAAAAAAAAACAACTATTAGGTGCCTGGGTGGCTCAGTCAGTTAAGCATTGGACTCTTGATTTTGGCTCACGTCATGATTTTGTGGTCATGAGACCAAGTCCCAGCTAGGGCTCCCAGCTGGGCATGGATCCTGCTTAAGATTTCTCTCTCTCCCTCTCCCTCCGCCCCTCCTCAGTTTGCTCACTTGCGTGCACATATACACTCACACACTCTCTAAATAAAAAAAAAATTGGGGCATCCAGGTGGCTCATTTGGTTGAGCGTCCAACTTCAGCTCAGGTCATCATCTCATGGTTCACTAGTTTGAGCCCCGTGTCGGCCTCTGTGCTGACAGCTTGGAGCCTGGAGCCTGCTTTGGATTTGTTTCTCCCTGACCAGAAAGCCTCTTACCATTTTTCTAGATAAATTTTAGAATATATATTCTTAATATTTTAACTTGTTGATTTGTATCTTGTTTCTTCTAGCTATGTCCTTGGTGAGTTTTCTTCTAACCTTCATTTGGTGTCTGTTTGCAGATAGGAGAAAGAATTCGAGTCATTTTGGACATGGAAGATAAGACTTTAGCTTTTGAGCGCGGATATGAGTTCCTGGGGGTTGCTTTTAGAGGACTTCCAAAGGCCTGCTTATATCCAGCAGTTTCTGCTGTATATGGCAACACAGAAGTGACTTTGGTTTACCTTGGAAAACCTTTGGATGGATGACAGTGGCTTTCTTGGGATGAAAAACTGAATGGAGAAGATATCTGCTTGTGGAAAGTAGAATCATGAAGTGACAGTGTCATACATGCATGCCCAAGAAACATCCTGAAAAACACATGAAATTGTTAACTGGAGAAGCAACTCTACAGCAGAGATCATCTTAGTGTTTCCTCTTTCTACTGGGCCAGAAAAATCCTCAGGGTTGCAGTTGGTTGAGTGGGCAGTTGACATATGCATGTTGCAACAGATTTTGTCTCTAAGTTAGCAATGTGTTATTTCCAACTTTTAAGGTGAGATTTTAGAGATGCTATAAAAGGGATAAGATAAGGAAATAGCAAGATTTTTAAGTAGTGTGTTTGTGAAGAAAGACTGATCCTGTTTTACAACTGCCTGTTTTTTCTCCAGACCCTTTTTTTCCAGCCAGCTTGACTATTAGAAAAGTATGAAACTGGTTGGGTTTTATTTAATATTTTTAATATATTGAGAAGCATGGTCTGCCTGGACTGCACTTCTCTAACAGTGAGTTGTAAAATTGTGCAGCTATTTTAAAAGTTGTATATATAATAAGTGTGTAAAAAAAAACCTGTAAAAAACAAAAACAGGACAAAGGGGTTGCTTTGTTCTAGTTCAATTTCTTAAAAACCACTACATGGTACAAAATTAGAATAACATTTAGGGAAAATTAGGTAACTACAAAGAAGAAGATTAAGAGGAGATGTGCTGTATTGGCTTATTTTTAAATTAATTTGGTTTACAGTTTCCATAGCTATTACAGTCTATAGTTATTTTTCTTTTAATGATCAAAATTATTGTAAACATCCATCAGCCTTGAGTTTAAGATTGAGGGAAAGCAAATCTATTTCTAATCATACATATATCAGTAGTAATAAGAATAATGTGTATCTTATAGTATCTGGTTTTATTTTTTGGCCTTCTGAGGAAGTGTCTCATAACAACACAGAACATTGCTGTTTGCTCTTACAGACCTCAACTATGAAAGCTGTTAGTCACAGACCTTAGGAAAAGAATTAATGGTCCTTTTATTTTGTAATTTCATAATGCTATAGATATTATAATTTTTTAAATTTTATATTGTTTACATCATGGCAACAAATCTAAGCCTCAGAACTCTTCCTTGGGGTTATCAAGAAAATGTTTACTCACCCACCTGAAACAGTGCCAGCCTGAACCCAGGTTAGGAATGTTATTAATCTCATCATAGATAATTGCCCCCATGGGACTTGAAATAAAATACCTTGTGCTGAAAACTTCAGGTTGGCAGTATTTTGAAGGTTTCATTGTAGAAGAGCTTGACATTAATTCCTATTCTGAGTTTTTGACTAATAAATCTGATTTCACTAATATTCTTGAGTTAATAATCATCTAACATATATGAGCTGAGGTTTCCTTTTGTTATGAGAAAAACAAACATCTTTCTGTATGAAAGTATAAATGTATGGTTTCAGATGCATCTTTGTGAAAAGAATTGACTAAGGCAGATGGAATCTTTTCCTTTTAGGTTATTGCTGTGCGTAATTTAGTTTTAAATCTAATCAAATTAGAGATAGCAAGCAGCTGGCTGGGGTTCTTGGGTTGCCCCTTGAGAGTTAAGCTTGTCAATGCTCTCATGAAGCAGGGGATTTCAGTCATGAACAGAGATTTATTTTTGCCACCTAACAAGTTTACAAATATTTATTGTGTATTTGGTATGTTGCTTAAAGGTGAAATCCGTTAAAAGTCCTTTTCAATATCCGTGTCAAGAAGAAACCTCCTGAAAACCATATTTAATACTACAGAATGAGACTATATGTTAAATGTATTAGAGGATATAGCTGCTACAGAAATTGATTTTTCCGGTGTAGAACAACTCCATTTAATTGACAAAGTTTAAAATTAAAAGAAAACTGGTTCAGGATGAAGACTGATAAAACAATAAAGTCCCTTATGTGCTTAGTCTTTTTTCAGGGTATAATATAGCCAATTCCAAGAGCTTTTGCTAAGAGTTTTGTTTATAACTTCTGTTTTGTCTTATTAGTAAACATTCATTTGTAACAAAGTTTTGAAGGTGCTGAATGGAAAACAGAAACACATGGTTATTGCACATTTAACCTAGAATCAAATATTTGCCTAAATATTTAAGAACAAGCCATTCTTATCTCAAAATTTAAATTCGCTAATTATGCTATTTGCAGTTTTATAAAATGGAGGCTCATATTTAGAATGAGCACCAGGGGAATGAAGAGCCTTCATTTATAACCTGGTAAATTATTTTATTACTGGAGACCAATAGCTGTACAGAGAATATTAAAACAAACTATTACAATGTTAAAGGAAAAGGAATCTCTTTTTCATTGGTGCTGAGAGAGCATTCAGGTAGAAGATGTTGCACCTGAAAGTTGAGTGTAAATCATCTAAACCAGTGGTTCTCAAACTTAGCTATACTTTGGAGTCATGTGCATTTTGAAAAATATTGATGCTTTTAAGGTCCCATACCCTAAAATTCTGATGTTGCTCTGATGTTGGACATGGTCATAAGGATTTTTTTAAGCTTCTTAGGTGATTTCAGTATGCTGCTAAGGTTGAGTTTTAAATTCACCTTAAGTTTTCTCATCTGCAAAATTAAAAAAAACAATAATCCTTGCTCCCTTCACTACCTCACAAGTGTATTGAGGGTAAAGGAGAAAGCAATGGGGAAGTACTTGTGTGATGGATAAAAAGTTCTATTGAAAGGTAAAGTAGTATTTGTTGTATTTCAACTGAAACTATGATCAGAAAAGAAAAATATGTAATTGAATTTACTTTGTTGACTTGGGAAACCGGGAGCATTCTCTTTGGTTCTTAACTTTAGTGAAGCATGCAGATGTGTAAACACACAATACTACTATTCTTATTCATACTATGGTCTTCTGTCATACTCGAGATAGGCTGTTTTAATTATCTGGTTCTACATAGGAAAGAAACATTAAGGCTTAAAGTCTGTAATGGCCAATGGCTCATAATTCATTAAAACTTTTCATACAAGGAGTTCTGTGGTTAATATATAATCATTTCATAGTTGCCATTATTTTTTTCATTATCTGACTTGAATGTTAAGCCATTTATTTCACCTCCTTCATTCTTACTCGTGTAAACTTAGGTATAGATTTTATAAAGCACATAAAGCAAGTAGGTTTTGCCCAGTTGACTAAAGTCATGACTAAATGATTAGGCATCATCTGCCTTTTAGATACAATTTAACCTGGGAAAGAGAGTTACAAAAATAACAGCCCAAAACCATACAATAGGCATTATAATTTAAGTCCCCAAACTGCTGTTTATATGAACTATAATATTAGTATTTTTTGACCTTTTTAAAAAAGTGAACAGTTTTGAAGAAATAGAAATGTAAAGAGTTTTCAAGATTACTTCCTGGAAATCAAGACCATCTCAATTAGAACCACTCTGAAGCCCTTCTGGAAGGAACAGTCCATACATAATCCAAATACTATCCTAATAAAGCATTCTTAATTTCTCTAGCTGAATATAATCTCTCCTTCCTTCAAATTTCCCTATTTTTATATTTATACTTAACTCATGCTATGTTACTTTATACCTTGTATAAATTTATTTATATTTATTATTTTTTGGTGTCTTATCTCCTCTAAACATCTTAAGACAGGATCTCTGATGGACTCCTCTTTATGCCCACATCATCTAAGCCCAATAGGTAGGTGCTCGCATATTTGCTGAAGGAACAGAGAAAGAATTATGTAGGGACACTAAAGCTGCTCTGAAGTTACAGACTATACTAACGAGATAGATGAGAAAGAAATTCTGTATCCTGTTTTAAGTGAAGCATGAAGGAAAAGGATATAAATCTGAGGTTAATAAGGAAGAAATGACTGTGAATGCATTTTAGCCATTCCCCTATTATGCTTAAATATTGATAAACTGATTTTTAGTTTTGGGTGTAAATTTATTTGTTTAGAATTAAAATTAGAATTCTGTATTTTAATTCTTTTGAAATTCTGTCGTTTTGCTTTATTTTCTTAATAAAAAGTTAAAACATTAACCACCTGTGATTGCTTACATTTAAAACAACTTAAAATATATTGGTCGGAAAGGAAAACTGGGGTAGCTTAATAGCCAAATGTGATGGGATTTACTTATAAATTGCATGTCTTTTAATGATGGAATCCACATTTCCCATGTTTAGCATGAAAGTTAAACAGGGAATAGTAATTCGCGAGGATCCTGTTCCCCAATTATCTCCACCCCAGCTAACAGTTGTTTGATAATGTTTGCCAAGAGTTACATGACGCAAGCATGGCTGAACAAATTGCTCCCGTGATCCAAAAGCTTAAAAGAGAATTATCGATCATGTTGCTAAAAGTTGTTAGATGTTTTAGTGTGTTCAAATTTTACAAAGGGTTTTAATTTCCTAAGAAGAAAAATAGATGTAAAATTTCTGTATCTTTTGTTTAAGGAGAGCTTTGCTAGTCTGTTGTCCTAATTTCTTTTCTTGGATCCTCCCCCAAACCATTTGCTTTTTATTTAATGTATTCATTAATATATTATTGAGGGCATTCTATCCTCTTCAGTATATGGTTCATTAAAAGAAATAGCCTCTCAGAATTTAAAATTGTCGTTAATCAGCTTGTGTACATAGGATTTTACAATAAGTGACAGGAAGTAAGAATCATTTAGGAAGTTTTCTTTAGGCCACCCTGTTGACAGTCCATAATTTCTGTTTATTTTTAGACAAGAAAACATAAGAGTTTAGGGAAATCAAGTTCTGTCTGTTGTATGATATTTAGCAAGTCATAGTATTTCTGCTACCTTTTTTCCTCTATAAATAGATGGGATGTGACATTGAGTAATGGGAATAGGTTTTGAGTCCTATCCCCCTTGGAAATGGCTCCTTGAAGGAATTTATTAAAATGCTAATATCCAAAGTTAGGTTAATTAAAGGCATATTGTAATGGAAATAGCCAGATATCTTTGTTTATGTTAGTGTAGCTAACCTGTTCACATTTTCCAACCAGTGTTGGTCTCTCAAAAACAAGAAATTAAGATATCTTTCAGGGGCACCTTGATGGGTCAGTTAAGTGTCCCGACATACGGTTTTGGTTCAGGTCATAAGCTCATGTTTCTTGAGTTCAAGCCTAGTGTCAGGCTGTGCCATAGCAGTGCAGAGCCTACTTGGGATTCTTTCCCTCTCTCCCTCTCAAATAAGTAAACTTTAGTTCATAGCAGCACTCTCAACAATAGCCAAAACATGGAAAGAGCCTAAGTGTCCATCAACGGACGAATGGATCAAGAAGATGTGGTTTATCTATACCATGGAATACTACATGGCAATGAGAAAAAATGAAATCTGGCCATGTGTAGCAACATGGATGGACCTTGAGGGTGTTATGCTGAGTGAAATAAGTCAGGCAGAGAAGGACAAATATCATATGTTTGCACGTATAGGAGGATTAGGAGGAACTTAACTGAGGAACAAGGGGGAGAAGAAGGGGGGAAATGGTGGGGGAAAGGGAGAGGCAAAACATGAGAGACTCTTGAATGCTGACAAAAACTGAGAACTGATGGATGTAGGGAGGAGGGGGGATGGGCATGGAGGAGGGCACTCGGGATGAGCATTGGGTGTTATGTGCAAACCAACTTGACAATAAACTATTTGTAAAAAAAATAAAAATAAAAAAATAAAAATAATAATTAAAAAAATAAGTAAACTTTAAAGACAAAAAAAATAAAAGGTCTTTCATGGGACACCTGGCTGGCTCAGTCAGAAGAGCATGTGACTCTTAAACTTGGGGTCATGAGTTTGAGCCCCACGTTGGGTGTAGAGATTAGTTAAAGAAAACTTAAATTTTTTTAAATGTTTATTTATTTTGAGAGAGAGCACACGTGCATGGGAGGGAAAGGCACTGACAGCGTGTAGCCCAACTCAGGGCTGGATGTCACAAACCATGAGATCATGACCTGAGCTGAAATCAAGAGTCAGATGCTTAACTAACTGAGCCACTCAGGCACCCCTTTAAAAAAATGTCTTTCATTTGTCTCCCTTTGTTGGTCACTTTTACCTTGGAGGGAAGGAATGCTTTAAGGTTGGAATGAGAGTGGTCAATGATTTCTCTCCTTCAGCAGGCCAAAGAGTGATACAGTTCATGAACAAATTGCCCAGAGCAGTAAAGGACGTGGACAGATGGCTGCTTGCTGAAAGGAATGTTGGTAGCAGAGACTGGTTACAGTGAGTTTTGGGGAGCTGCCAGATGCATCCAACCTTCCAATCACAGGAATAGTGAATTTCAGTACCCATGGAGCCAAATGGAACCAATAATAACTCCCTAGGCCACTCTGGGTTTTATGTGGCCACAGGTGAGCCATGGCATCTGAAATTGTGGAGTGCACCTTGCTGCCAGTCACCTACTTAGTATTGAGAAAGAGTGAGAAAAGCAGAAAAGAAATTCCAAATTCATGAAATATTTTTATGCATACATCTGTATGTACCAGGGTCTTGGCAGGCCCTAGAGATACAGAAATGGGAAAACAAAAGCAAAAATAAAAACATAGTCTGCTTTAATGCCATTCACAATTTAGTGAGAAAGCATGTGGAAATAGACTACAATGAAACAGTGGAATAATTGTTTTAATGGAGTTATGTATGAGGACCAGGGTGGCATGGGAGAGAGGGAGTATTTGACTTAATCTGGAGTGATATTTAAACTGAGCCATAGGGGGTACCTAGGGTGGCTCAGTTGGTTAAGCATCTGACTCTTGATTTCAGCGCATGTCATGGTCTCATGGTTCGTGAGTTCAAGCCCCGCATCAGACTCCACACTGACGGTGCAGAGCCTGCTTGGGGTTCTGTCTCTTTTTCTCTCTCTCTCTCTGCCCCTCCCCCCCCACACACTCTCTCTCAAAATAAACTAAAAAAATAAATAAACTGAGTCTTAGAAGATGAATATGAGTTAGTGAGGGTAGATCTGCTATTACAGGCACACGGAGTAGCATGTATGTGATACAGAGGCATAAGTGGATCCAGTATGTATAGAAACAATACACACTGGAAGAGTAGTGGGAGAGATTATGGAGCCAAGGGGTTGGGGCCAGATCATAACTGCCATGCTAAGGAGTTTGGGTATCATCCTATTTTTCATGGGGAAGCCATTCAGAGGTTTTCAAGCAGGAGCATGGCATGATCTGTGGGCTTTGACAATTGCTCTAGCTGCAAAAGGCTGTGATAGAAAAATGGGAGATGAGATAAGCAGCAAGTGACTGTAAAGATGCAGAGGAAAGATGTATTTAAGAGGCATTCAGGAAAATAAATGGAGACCATTTGTGTGTAGAGGATGGGGCACTTTTTTTGGTGTGGATATTTGGGAGAATCATGGTACTCCATTGGGATAAAGAATTGGGGAATATAGACTGGAGGAGCAGATGATGCATTCAGCCTTGAACATGTTGAATCTGAGGTAGAAATACACAAAAAGCAGTTAGAACTACTGTCTGGAGTTAGGGAGAGAGACAGACAACAGGCTGCTGAGCAGGGAGTGAGAGCTGCTGACACTTTGCTTTCTTCGCTGGTTCTACCAGTCCCGCAGAGGGAGTGGGGGTGGGGGGAACCACCCTGTGGGCAGAATGAGGGGCAGGGATGCCTGGAGTACCTGAAAAGACAACTACCTGCCCCTCTACATGGTGACTCTACCAGGTAAAGACTGGTGGATTGTTTGGGTGTTTTTTGTTTTTGTTCTTGTGTACCCTACTTCTGTGAGTGACAGTCTTAGCACTTCAACATTTTTAATGCCTGTTTTTAAGTTTTTTAAATTTCCTATCATTTTGGTTTTCAGGCAAGAACTCTGATGTCGTAGTTCAAGAGTCATAGGTTCTAAGTCCCAAGCAGATTTCTTCCCTTCTAGGGCCATTTCTTTATCTTTTGATGGTTTTCATTTGGGGATGCCCACTAGAATCACCTGGAAGCTTTTAATTTTTTAAACAGCTTTATTGAGATATAACTGACATACAATAATCTATACATA